TAGTTTACAAATTTTTTACTATTACTTAAAGAATTTCCTTCCTTTCAAATATATCTGCTAGGTATCCTTACAAATCCCTTTAAATACTTAATTGTATACTCCATATTGTTAGATTCCTATATTTTAATAATCTAGAATTTTATTCTATAACAATATTCTTTTATCTATTCTCTTATTCTCCTTTTTAAAAGGGAATAATTATTTATTTCCTTCTTTTTCTTGATAAAGAGTTAGTACAGAAGTAATCCATACTTTCATAGTAAATGTACCTAGAGCATTTTTCCCTGTATATTTACCATAATCTACCATAATATTTCGTACAGTATCATTAGATACTCCTGATTTTTGTAGATAAACTCCAGAATCTGCATTTGGATTATTAATTCGCACAGATTTATTTGTCATTCGAGGCACAAGTCGTTCTGTTGTAAGACGTCCTGCTAGTTCTAGACGAATTCCTTGAATATAAGATGGTAGTACAAAAGAATCTTCTTCTCCAAACATACCATATAGTTTAATACTATATGAAGGATGACTAGCTACAGCATCAGCAAATTTCAGGAAATTTTTCTTAGATGCATTCATTACTAGATATTTTGCTAGAATTTGTGCATTCATGTAAGGATATCGTACTCGAGTCATTTCAATATGTACCTCTTTCTTAAATACTAGAGATAGAGCTTTACATACTGCTTTCATATTTTCCTCTGAAAGTAGATTTCGCACACTAGAATTATTATTCTTACAATAATAAAATAGCTGCACATGAATTTTATTTGCACCATGATGAAAAATAGGATTGCTAATAAGTACTCCTGTAATTTGTCGTTGATCACTAACTTTTTTAGAAGAAGTAACAGTAGATTCTTGATTTGAAAAGAAAGATTCTAGAATCTGAACAGCTGCTTTTTGTAGTCCTTCTTGTGTATGATTATTTGCTTTTAGAAAATGATGTTTATTTTGAATCATACTAGAAGATAGAATATCCACTAGTTTACTATCATTTCCTACAATCCGTTTATTTTTAAATAGAATAGTAGTATATTTCATTATATTTATATGTATATATATATAGATTCATAAGATTAACTATTAGTTATTATACTTATATGAATATACAAATAATGTATAAAAGGGGAAAATATTCTCCTAAATATATTTATTATTATAAATAATTTTATTATTGTAGTTTAGTAATGTATAGTCGTGTTAGGTTTAGCTCAAGAAAAGCTGGCAGAATATATCGACTAAATACAAATACTAGTAGGAATAGACCAAAAATAACAAATGAAATTTGGTTTACAAAGTAAAAAGGTACTAGTTGTGGCATTTTTGTTTTTATTTTTTATAAATCATAGAATATTTCTAAATAGATTGTGATACAATATGTAACAAAAAATAGAAAATAAATAAATAAATAATACATTCTTGTAATACCAAAGAAAAAATTAAGATTGTTTTGGAATTACATGGAATGCATGGAATGGTGTTGGTGAATCAATTGACCATTCTAGTGAAGAAGCATGTCCTCCTTCTAGCCAGAATACTGGGTTAGATTCGAAGAATGCTGGAGCTGCCCAAGGGTTACTATCTGCTTCTTCTCCATTTACTAGAGCATCATAGATAATGTAACCAAAGATTACTACTGAAGCAAGTGAAATCATACTTCCTACACTTGACATGAAGTTATATGGTGCAAATGCATCAGGATAATCAGGGATTCGTCGTGGCATTCCTGAAATTCCTAGGAAGTGTTGAGGGAAGAATGTTAGGTTAGCACCAACGAATAGAGTCCAGAATTGGATTTTTCCTAGTGTTTCATCAAATGTTTTACCTACAATTTTTGGGAACCAGTAGTAGAATCCGGCAAATACTCCAAATACAGCACCCATTGATAGTACATAGTGGAAGTGAGCAACTACGTAATATGTATCGTGGAATACAATATCTAGTGAAGCATTTGATAGAGTTACTCCTGTAACTCCTCCAATTGTAAATAGTACAAGGAATCCAATACAGAAAGTCATTGGTGTACTCATTCGGATTGTACCTCCATAAATTGTTGCTAGCCAACTGAAGATTTTAATTCCTGTAGGAATTGAAATAATCATTGTAGCTGCTGTAAAGTAAGCTCGTGTATCTACATCAAGTCCTACTGTAAACATGTGGTGTGACCATACTAGACATCCTAGCACTCCAATTGTAGCCATAGCATATACCATTCCTAGATATCCAAATACTGGTTTAGATGTAAATGTTGATACAACTTGACTTACAATTCCAAATGCTGGAATAATTAGAATATATACTTCAGGGTGTCCAAAGAACCCAATTTCTATTACTTTTCATTTATTATAGTTCTACGAAAAGTACCTGTATTATTCTTATTCATATAGAACAGAATAACCTTGTGTAGTATATTTATTTTTCTTGCATATACTAATAGAAATCCGACTGTACATCAAGCACCATTACAGGCACCCACAAGTGACCCAGTCTGTAGCGATTATTTAGATAACCGACGGTCTTAGTACGAACTACACTTTGACCGTTTTCACTTGCATTGCCAATTATTCTTACAACATCTTATTAATAGCTCTAAGAATAATCCTAACGCCTGTCGGGGTTAGCATATTTATATATTACATACTATTTTTCTCTAAAGATTGCATAGTTTATAAATATGGACTAGAATTATGGTATATGATTTCTCATATTCACATACATAGGTCTTTCTATTATTCATTTTACACACCTGCCTATGCATATTTCATAACTTTTTCTATAAAAATATAGAATTATATTAAACCATATCCTGTATTCCAGTGGGAAAATACTAATGATTAATACTTATTACTTTCTTTTTCAGAATATCTCGAGTAAATGTATTCATATGTTTCTTATTTTGAAGATCATCATGAACACTTTTCCAAATATCATAAGATTTTTTCTTAGTAGTTTGTAGAGAATATTTATCAAAATATTCCATTACTTTCTTAGCATTTTTACGACCATTTACTGTTAGTTGATACATATCTTTCATATGCATAGAACTTACTTTCCCTCCAAGAAAAGATTGAATAGAATCAAGAATTACTTTATTCTCTATACCTTTCTGTACAAGTAGAAATCGATATCGATAACTACTAGAATTTCCCAGTAGAGAACATGTGAAACATCCTTCCGCATCTGTAAATCCTGCTAGCCAAGCATTCTCTTTACTAGGTAGTAGATCTTGTGAAAGTACATTTACATTCTCTTGATTCATTTTATTATATTGATCAACCCAAAGAGAAAATGCTTTCTTTTTACTTGGTAGAACAATATTTCCATTAAACAGTAGAATTAGTTTATAAATATCTGCCTTTTTGTTTACTACAAAACGATTTGTAGTTATTCCTTGTCGAATTACATTCCCAAAACCTAGTTGATCTCGAATACTATTGAGAATATATTTATTTTTAGAATGTTGAGTAACTACAAAAGTTACATTACCTCGACTATTTACAATAAAACTGCCATCTCCTTCTGTAAATCCTACAAACCATTCCAGAAAAGAAGTAGTAACAATATTATTATATTTTTTAAAAAGAGAAAACTGAAAATTAGCTTTATTCATATTTTAAGTTATTATTATAGTCATTAGTATTTTTATTTTATTAGAATAGGTGTTGGTAAAGAACTGGATCTCCACCTCCTGCTGGATCATAGAATGAAGTATTAAAGTTACGGTCTGTTAGTAGCATTGTAATTGCACCAGCTAGTACTGGTAGTGTAATTACTAGTAGAATTGATGTAACAAATACTGACCAAACAAATAGAGGAAGTTTATACATAGTCATTCCTGAAGCTCGCATGTTTAGAATTGTTACCATAAAGTTCATAGCACCTAGCATTGATGAAATTCCTGATAGGTGTAGACTAAAGATAGCAAGATCTACTGAACCTCCTGAGTGACTTTGAAGACCTGATAGTGGAGGATAACATATATCTTATTTTCATCGCAATGAAAATAGCTACTATTCTCATAGTAGATTGGACTATACCTTCTTATTATTTTATGTTTCACTTCATTTATTCATTCATATCTTTATTTTTATAAATACTACGAATTTTCTTCATCATCTCTCGTACTTTCACTAGATCCTCAAAATTATTTTCCTTTTGATAAGATCGACTCCAAATTCGATATTCTAGAGATTTCATCCCTTTCATAGTACGAAAGAAATAATTAATTACTTTCTCTACACTTTTTTCGATTTGTTGTAATACATGTATAATATCCTTTCTTTTCATACACTGTTATATCTAGCACATAACTAATAGCTAGTAGTACTAGTTTATCTTTCTTTTGTGTAATCTCAAAACAATGTACCATACGTGAAGGTCCCTTTTTAACTAGATAAAAACTCCCTTCTGCTTCTGTAAATCCTACTAGCCATTCTTTAGAAATCACTTTCATAGAACGATATAGATCTAGATTTACTTCTGTACTATCTTCTCATACTAGAGAAATATAATTCTCAGGAATAAATTGATTTTGAGATTTATAATAATCTAGCAGTTTCTCTTTTTCGAACATACTTAGATTATTATCTAGATATACTTTCAGACTTTTACGAAATAGTTCATAACGATATTGTTTACTAGTTCGAAGAGGTTCTTTATCAAAAATAGGCAGGATAATATCATGAATATGGTTTATATTCCGAATACGATATTCTGCACAAGAATCTTTACTATTTGTGATACTGATAGAACCTACTCCTAGCATTTTCTTTACGAAATATAGTAGACGAAGATTATATTTACTTTGACCAATTTTAAAACAGAAAGTTCAAGTATTTTTCTGAGTTTTAGCAAAATAAAAACTTCCATCTCCATCTACTACACCTACTAGCCATGCATGAAATGAATTTATAAATGAAGTATTTTTTGTAAACATACTATAATAAGCACTACATGTAGTCTCTGATGGCATAGAAATTTTCTTAGTATATTTACCAAAGAAATTCATAAACCAGGCGGATTGTCCCCATGTTGATGACATTATTACATTTCCTAGATAGAATAGAAAAGTATTCATCTTCGTGTATACTGGCTTACTATACTGGAGGAGTTTCCCGCATCGAGTAGTGTTTTCAGACAGCTTATCATTCTCAACTGTCCATCCTGGCCCTGCTCCTTGTTCTACAAATGCACTTGATAGTAGTAGAATTAGACTAGGAGGTAGTAGCCAGAAACTAATATTATTTAGTCGTGGGAAAGCCATATCAACTGCTCCAATCATTACAGGTGCAAAGTAATTTCCAAATCCTCCCATTAGAGCTGGCATAACCATAAAGAAGATCATAAGGAAAGCATGTGCTGTAATAATTACATTAAATAGTTGATGGTTTCCACCTAGAACTTGAACACCAGGAGCAGCAAGTTCTGCACGAATAAGTACAGAGAACATTGTTCCTAGTAGTCCTGAGAATACAGCAAAGATAAGGTAAAGAGTACCAATATCTTTAGCGTTTGTTGAATAAAGCCATCGTGTCATGAATAATAAATATTCATACAAATAATTTTTATACTCTTATTAGAATGTTTCAATTATTGAAGTAATATACATTTTTGTAAAAAAGAACAAAAGAAAGTTGCAATATCAATCATCTTAAATTATTATTCAAATTCTTTCCTTTAACTATTTTCCTCACTCTAAGAAACTAGGACAAAAAGAGAATCGAACTTCAGTGATCTTACGATCGCAGTTGTTCGAATCCCTTCCATCATTTATATATATTTATAAAATATTCTATTTTCTAGGACAAAGGAGATTAGAACTTCAGTTTTATGAAAACAGTTATTCGAATTCCTTAAATTATTTATAAATATTACTTTATATAAAAAAGGACAAAAAGAGATTCAAACTTCAATGCAACGAATCTCTTCAATTATCATTAAGTTTTAATTACACTTTAAATTCTTTAGGACAAAAGGAGATTCGAACTCCCACGGGTACAACCCAGATAATTAGCAATTATCCTTACTTCACCAATAGCCGTTTGTCCTATTATTCATTCTTATACATTTCATAATCATTCTTCTTTACAGATAAATTCATTTTTAAAAGAGGAAAATTCTATCACTTCATTTAAAACTGAATGATATTATTACCTATTATAAGTATAATACATTTATTTAAAAGGGGAAAATTGAAAATTTATCAATCAGCCGCAAGTTCCCTTACGGCTACCTTGCTATAACTTCACCTCAGTTCGATCCTAAACGTCCCTAGTATAGAATACTAAGTTCCATATTCAGACAAAACCAAGATGTGATAGACAGTTAGTATCTCCTTAATGAGTTGTTCACCGTTCCGTACTGATAAACGATTACTCGGTATTCCTGATTCATGTAGACGAGTTTCAGTCTACAATCCTTATTTAATCTTGTTTTCTAGATTGGCTCCATCTTACGATTTCGCATCTTTTTGTTAGATTCTAGTAGCACGTCTGTTGCCCATACTCCATAAGGATCATGACGACTTATCGTATTCCATATTAGCCACTTATATCAAATGGACAGGAAGAAGAATTGATTCTTACTATGGATTGCGTTCGTTAGCGGACTTAACCTAACATCTTACGACACGAACTGCCGACAGCCATGCAACGCCTGTGATAAATATATTTATAGAAATAAATTCTATATTCTATTTAACATTCAAGGAGAGGTAAGGTTCTACGCGTATTGACGTATTAAACAACATGCTCCACACCGGTTCTTAAGGATGGTCTAATCTTTTTGCTTTCAATCTTGCGATAGTACTCACAAGGTGTTACACATACAGCCTTTCGCTTTCCCTCTGATTCTTTTTCTATATTTGCATATATAACCAAAGGACTAGTGTAAATAGTTTACAGTCTGGACTACTCAGGTAGCTAATCTGGTTCGCTCCCCAAACTTTCATCTCTCAGCGTCAATTCATACTTGGAAAATTGCTTTCGCCATTGGTATTCCACCAGAAATCCTAAAATATCATCTTTACTCCTGATATTCCATTTTCCTCCATAGAATTCTAGTTATATATTCATAACCGCCTACAGATCCTTAAAACCTATTAATTTATTCAACGTTCGCCCAGTTCGTATAACCGCGTCTGCTGGCACGAGACTTAGATTGGACTTTTAGTAAGGTAACGTCATTATCCTCCCTTACAACACTCTACTATATTTCGAGTTCTGGTTGGCTGGGTCACTCTTTCGAGCATTGCCCAATATTCTCCTCTGCAGCAATCAGGAAACTGATCCATCGGTCTATTAAAACCAATTGCGGAAATTGAAGCTTTCGCTCTTTTCTATCTGTTAACGGCTTGTTGCGCCTTTACCACAACAACTACCTACAGAACAAAGAATGAATCTTATTTCAAAGGTATCTATTCTTTGCATCTTCGCCTGCACGCCCATGCGTCCTTGAAGAACAACATCGACTCGCATGAGTAAAACCACCAGAGAACGTTCGAACATTGCTAAGATTAAACAATTACAAACAAATAATATAATCTCATTCAAAAAAAAAAGAAATAAAATTATACCCTTACGAATTTCTTTCTAAAGAAAATCCATCATATATATTTCCTTTATATTTTTTACACTAGTAGATATTATCTATAAGTATTGGTATATCTATTATCTCTATCAATCATTCATATTCTACTTACATATATATTTATTTATATATAGGTAACTGCTGTGTATTTTTGTAATTGTACAAGAAACATCCAGCCCATACTCGATAATCTTGATAAAATACCATGATTTTCATCATGATCATAATCTTTATTATGCTTTACAATATCTACTCTCCTCTTGAACAATTCGAAGTTGCTAGTCTTATCTCTTTCAATATTCCTTTCTTCGGACTTATGCACTTCTCTCTTACAAACCTTGGACTTTATGTTCTTATTGGTGTATTCCTAGTTCTTGCATTCCACATTGTTGGTTTCAATAACCACAAACTTGTTCCTAGTCGATGGAGTATTGCTCTTGAATCTAGCTTCGCTTCTCTTCACTCTATGGTAAAAGGACAAGTTGGTCCTGCTAACGAACGATACCTTCCATTCATTTACTCTCTATTCTTCTTCCTTCTATTCACTAACCTTAACGGGAACATCCCTTACGGATTCACTGTTGGTAGTTCTGTTATCGTTTGTCTTGGACTTAGCTGTATGATCCTTATCGGTGTTACAATCCTTGGTCTAAGTATCCATAAAGTACATTTCTTCTCATTCTTCCTTCCTGCTGGTACTCCTCTTGCTCTTGCTCCTGTTCTTGCTCCTATTGAACTTATTTCTTACCTTGCTCGAGCTATGTCTCTTGGAGTTCGGCTACTTGCTAACCTTGCTGCAGGTCACTCACTTATGAAAATTCTTGGTGGATTCCTATTCACTCTATTCACTTCTAGCGTTCTTGTTGGATGCCTAACTATCATCCCATTCGCAATCTTCGTTGCTATTATTATCCTAGAAGTTGCTGTTTCATTCCTGCAAGCTTATGTATTCTGTATCCTTACATCATCTTACATTAAAGATGGTATTGATCTACACTAATACATTACCTACATACTTTCTTCATTGATTATATATCTTTATTCTATATTCATAGGAAAATCACTTCCCCCTTATCATTATTCCTACTACATCTTTATCTATTCTACAATAATAATTATATATATATAAGTATTTATATACTATTTACTATTATAGGTATCATTAACTTCATGTTAATATTATATACCATATATATACAAGAACATATATTCTTTCTATATATCCAGATTTGATTCATTTATCTTAGTCATTATGCTTCTTATTACTCTTCTTATTATCCCTCTTATTGGTGTTGCTATTATCGCTCCTTCTTACCAATATGCTGGTAATAAAAATATCTCTATCCCAGCTAATACTGATCCTGATACTAAACTAAAAGCTATTGCTCTTATTATCTCGATCATTACTTTTATTTACTCTCTTTCTCTTCTTCTTCTATTTGATCCTACTACTCCTGATTACCAATTTACTTACAACTTCGGATCTCAAAACAACCTATTCTCTTCTGATTTCCAAATTGGTATTGATGGTATTTCTCTTTACTTTGTTGTTCTTACTACTTTCCTTTTCCCTATCTCTTTCCTTGCTAGCTGGAAAATCTCTTCTTCTACTCTCGCTGGTGGTAATAAATACAATGTTAAATTCTATCTATGTACTATGCTTGTTCTAGAAGTTCTACTTATCCTTGTTTTCGTTGTTACTGATATTATGCTATTCTATATCTTCTTCGAAAGTGTTCTTATCCCTCTTTTCCTTATCGTTGGTATTTGGGGTGGTAGTCCTAACCGAGTTCGTGCTGCTTTCCTTCTTTTCCTATTCACACTTATCGGTTCTCTATTCATGCTTCTTTCTATCCTTGCTATGTACTATAACGTAGGATCTACTGATTTCGCTCTTATTAGCCAATACACATTTGACCCTACTACTCAAAAACTTCTTTGGATTGGTGTTTTCATTAGTATGGCTGTTAAATTCCCACTTTGGCCTCTTTACTCTTGGCTATACCGAGCACATGCTGAAGCCCCTATCGCTGGAAGTATCCTTCTTGCCGGTATCGTTCTTAAAATGGCTACATATGGTAGCCTACGTATTCTTCTACAATTCCTTCCTGATGCCTCTTTCTACTTCAGCCCTCTTGTACAAACTCTCGCTGTTATGAGTATTATCTACGCTAGCCTTGCTACTCTTCGACAAACTGATTTCAAAGCTCTCGTTGCTTACTCTAGTGTTGGACATATGGGTATTATCGTTCTTGGACTATTCTCTAATACTATCCAAGGTATCCAAGGTTCTATCCTTCTTTCTATCGCTCATGGTTTCGTTAGTCCTGCTCTATTTATCCTTGTTGGTGCTGTTCTTTACGATCGATTCCATACTCGTACAATCCGATACTACCGAGGTCTTGTTACTTACATGCCTATCTTCGCTATCTTCTTCTTCCTATTTACTATCTTCAATGCTGGTATCCCTCTTAGTGCTAACTGGATCGGTGAAACTCTTTGTCTTATTGGTACTTACCAAATTAACCCTATCGTCGCTATCCTAGGTGCTACTGGTATTGTTCTTAGTGCTGCTTACTCTATCTGGCTTTATAACCGTATTACTTTCGGTTCTTACAGCCAATACCTTAACTACACTAAAGACATTAACCGACGAGAATTCCACCTTATCCTTCCTCTTCTTATCCTTACTGTTCTTATCGGTATTATGCCTAACCTTATCCTTGATAATATTGATATTAGCGTTACTTCTCTTCTTTATAAAGTCTTAAGATTTTTAAGTTTATCCCCCCTTCCATATTCTAATCTTTTTTATAACATTCTCCCTCATATTTACTACTATCCCATCCTATTCATTATTTTCTTATTCTTTACTACTTCTACTCACTACTTC